GTGCACCCCTGGACTCCTGGTCAGCCCCTCACCTCTGCAGTTGCAGGAGTTTCTTTCTCCCCAGCTTCCAGACCCTACCCTTGCATCTGTGGAACCTCCTGAGGGTCCTCTCTGCCCAACTCTCTGGTCTCTGCCCCGTGCAGGTCAGGCTTTTTGGTGACCTGGTTGGTGCTGGGGGGCTTCAAGCCCCACCCTTGAGGTCCTTGCCCTCTGTTGGTGCACCCAACGAGCGTTCCTCTGCTGTCTCACTCCCCTGCCTCCTCCTCCCCATCCCTTGGGGGGTGTTCCTGTGGCCACGGTGGTCCTCCAACCTCCTCCTTCCATCTCTTCTCCTCCCTCCCTGCAGCACGAGGAGTCAGCAGGTCGGAACCACAGCTTGGCTCAGCGGGTGGAGGACCTGGAGCATCGTTCCAGTGAAGCCAGCACCTTGCAGCACATCCAGGCCACCCTGCTCTACGACATGCAGGCCCAGATCAACAACATCTCCGTCCTGACCGACTGGGCCTGGCGCAACCCCACCTGCCTCCACCCCGCCGAGATGAGGCTCCAGGAGGAGACCCAGAGGCCAGGTGATGGGGAGCTCCTGGGGATGGTCTGGAGGGGATGTTTCCCCCGTACAGAGGTGGTTTTGGGTTGGGAGGATCTTCAAGATCATCTGGTTTCAACCCCTCCTGCCATAGGCAGGGATAACTCCCACTAGAGTAGGTTGCTCCAAGCTCCAACCAACTTGGTCTTGGGCAACTTGTTCCCTCTTGTCCTGTTGTCCCTTGGGAGCAGAGCCCGACCCCCCCCTGGCTCCAGGCTCCTGTCAGGAGCTGTGCAGAGCCAGAAGGTCTCCCCTGAGCCTCCTTTGCTCCAGGCTCAGCACCCCCAGCTCCCTCAGCTGCTCCTCCCCACACTTGGGCTCTAGACCCTTCCCCAGCAGCTCCGTTGTCCTTCTTCACCTTCAGGAGAAGCTCTGAATGGAGGAATTCCCAGGTCCTTTCTCCAGACCTTGCCCTCAACCCAACATTTCTCTTTCCCCTCAGAGGTGAAGCACTCCAGGAACTGCCCCATCGACTGTGCCTCTGTCTACTACAACGGGCTGAGGCGCTCGGGGGTCTACAGCATCATGCCCTCGGTTGGAGGGCTGCCCATCGAAGTCCTCTGCGAGATGGACACTGAAGGTACTGAAGGAGGCACCTGCAACACCATCCAGAGGAGTTTTGGGTGGGATTTGTCTGTCCTTAGAGTTGCATCTTGTCTCTGAGCTACTTTTGGGCCACTTCATAGTCAGAGGAGCATCTTCAGAAGGGTCGTTCTTCATGGACAGAAGACTGCTGGCCAAGGGAAGGGTTTGGATGAGTTCTTCAACCACTGTGGTTGGGATTTAGCTGCCTACCCGTGGGAATTGAGTGGTCTTTGAGATGTCCTCGTGCCTCTGGGTCGTTTGTGACACACTAGTGGATGTGGCACAGGGCTTAGGGGAGGAGGAGCCCTTTGGGAGCAGCAGCAGGTCATGGGGTGGGGTGTTTGGAGCACCTACAGGTAGCTGAGGGCTATGTGGGGGACCTGCTGATTGTAGCTGTGCTGAATTGAGGAGGGGGGATGTAGATCCTCTCCCACAGATGTTTTAGAGTGTAGATGAGGCAGCAGATGACCTCCCACAACCTTAATGTCCACACTGTCATCCCAAGGTGCAACCTTGCTAGCAAAACAACCTCACAACCCTTGAAGTTCTGGAAGAATGATGAAAATTGTTCAAGGAAACAAATCATAGAATGGTTGGAGTTGGGGTGGATTTTAAAGATCTAGTTCCAACCCCCCTGCCGTGGGCAGGGACACCTCCAGCTAGACCAGGTTGTCCAAAACACCACCCAGCCTGGGCTTGGGCACATCTAATTTTGGGGCATCTACGACCTCCCTGGGCCAACGTCAAGGAATGGTCAGTCCTTTGCCCCATGGATCTACCCCAGCGTGGATGGATGTGTCCCACCAACACATCCCACGCTGGAGGAAGGAGTTCAGCTCCCCATAGGTTGGCATCTCCCCTCTTGGAGGATCTACAGGGGGTTGCAGCTTGGGGATGCACACGCCCATGAAGGACCAGGCTGTCCACGTGGTCTCTGTTGTGTCATTACTCTCATTTGTGTGGCCATCAGCACAATTTTGGACACCGTGGAGTGACATGTTGTACAGTGAACAAAAAAATGGCCCCAGTCTTGTCCTAACCCCTCCCACCTCAAGCTAATTCTCTTGGAATGGAATGAGGGAAGGATTTGGACAGATGGGAGAGCAGATGGAGCCAGTGAGACAATACTGGGAGAGCTCCTGTGCCTCCGTGGTGCTGCAGGAACAGGACATAATCATCTCCAAACTCCAGGGGCTCTAGTTTGGTTCAGTCCCAAAACATTTGCCTGCCCCAAATGACCATCTCTGTCTCGTTTCAAAACCCCCTGAAGCTCTGGAAGGACCTTCTGACAGCCAACACCATCAGGGACCAACGTGGGAGAGGTGGAAACCTCTTTGAGCAATGGTGGGCATCGTATTTGAGCCCCCTGCAGCAACTGACTCTTGGTTTGCCCAGTTGGGGGGAGGACATGTGATAAGAAGACAACTTGTGGAGCTGCAGATGGAGCCTCAGAGGTGACACCAGCCAGGGGTCTGTCTGGAACCCTTGGGTGCTTCCTGGAGACTCCCATTTTATCTTCACAGAATGGGTGGGGGGTTAGGGGGTTGGGAGGGACCTCTGGGGATCATCCCATCCCACCCCTGCTCCAGCAGCTCACCCCCAGCAGGGTGCCCAGGGGCACAGCCAGGAGGGTTTGGGATCTCTCCAGAGCAGGAGACTCCACAGCCTCTCTGGGCAGCCTGGGCCAGGCTCTGCCACCCTCCCAGCAGAGAAGTTTCTCCTCCTGCTCTGGTAGAACCTCCTGTTCCTCATCTCTCTTCTCCCAGGTGGGGGTTGGACAGTCATCCAGAGGCGTCAGGACGGCTCAGTGGATTTCAACCGGACCTGGAACGAGTACAGGGATGGTTTTGGGGACCTCAATGGTGAGTTCTGGCTGGGCAATGAGAACATCCACAAGCTGACGAGCCAAGGGGACTACTCGCTGCGCATCGACCTGGAGGACTGGAACAACAAGCACAAGCATGCCTTCTACCAGGTCTTCAGGTAGAAAGTGGGGTGGCCTTCCTTGGTTCTCATAGACCTCCTAACCACGAACTAGTTCAATCTCAGGAGACCTTCAAGCTTGGGAAGCCCCCTGTGGCCAGAGTGACTGTGTCTAAAAGAGCTTTTCAGACTTTTTCAGGCTCAGGTTGTCTGTTTTTTCTTTCTTACTTGGTTTTTACCATGAGTTTGCTCCAGGTGGAAGCCTGGGTGTGAACCAGCCAAGGTGGAGTGTTGTCCAGCCATGGCCAACGCCCACAGCCCCAGCAGAAGGGAGCTGTAGGACCCCATGGATGGTCCCCAGAGGTTTTTCTGCCAAAATTATGGAGCTCTATGTCAAAACCTGGGTCTTGCTGGGCAGCTCCTCCAGCATCTCTCTGCTTTAGAGCTGTGGTTTGATTTTTACCCTCTCTACTCATGGCTCTCACTTGGTGGACCTGCTGTAATGTCCCTCAGTGTCTGGAGCTCTCCCCTTGCTCTGCTGTTGTGTTTCTCCATGCATCATCAGCCACATCCTTTCTTCATCAGGGGTGACCAGATGGGTCTAGATGGTC